TGATGACAGAGTGGAGGATTGAGCGAGGACAGAGTGGAGGAGGATGGAGTGAGGACTGAGTGGAGGAATATGGAGCAACGACAGAGTGGAGGAGGGCGGAGCGAGGACAGAGTGGAGGAAGATGAAGCGAGGACAGAGTGGAGGAGGATGGAGCTTGGAGAAAGTGGAGGAGGATGGAGCAACGATGGAGCTTGGACAGAGTAAATGACAATGGAACGAGGACAGAGTGGAGGAGGATAGAGCGTAGACAGAGTGGAGGAGGATGGAGCAATGAGAGAGTGCATGAGGATGGAGCAAGCATGGAGCGAGGACAGAGTGGAGGAGTATGGAGTGAGTACAGAGTGGAGGAATATGGAATGATGACAGAGTGGAGAATTGAGCGAGGACAGAGTGGAGGAGGATGGAGCGAGGACAGAGTGGCGGAGGATGGAGCTTGGAGAGAGTGGAGGAGGATGGATCGAGGACAAAGTGGAGGAGGATGGAGCGAGAACAAAGTGGAGGATGAAGCGAGGACAGAGTGGATAAGTATGTTGTGATGACAGAATGGAGGAAGATTGAGCGAAGTCAAAGTGGAGGAGGATGAAACGAGGCCAGATTGGAGGAGGATGGAGCGAGCACAGAGTGGAGGAGGATAGAGCGTAGACAGAGTGGAGGAGGATGGAACAATGAGAGAGTGCATGAGGATGGAGCAAGCATGCAGCGAGGACAGAGTGGAGCAAGCATGCAGCGAGGACAGAGTGGAGGAGTATTGGGTGAGGACAGAGTGGAAAAAGGTAGAGCAAGGACAGAGTGGAGGAGGATGGTGCAAGGATAGAGTGGAAGATGTAGCGAGGACAGTGTGGAGGAGGATAGAGCGTAGACAGAGTGGAGGAGGATGGAGCAATGAGAGAGTGCATGAGGATGGAACAAGCATGGAGCGAGGACAGAGTGGAGCAGGCATGGAGCGAGAACAGAGTGGAGCAGGCATGGAGTGAGGACAGAGTGGAGGAGTATGGAGTGAGGACAGAGTGGAGGAATATGGAGTGATGACAGAGTGGAAGAGGATGGAGCTTGGAGAGAGTGGAGGAGGATGGATCGAGGACAGATTGTAGGAGGATGGAGTGAGGACAGAGTGGAGGATGAAGCAATAATAGAGTGGAGGAGCATGGAGTGATGGCAAGAGTGGAGGAGGATGGAGCAAGAACAGAGTGGAGGGGAATGGAATGAAAGCAGAGTGGATGAGGGTGGAGCGAGGACAAAGTGGAGGAGTATTGGGTGAGGACAGAGTGCAAAAAGGTAGAGCAAGGACAGAGTGGAGGAGGATGGAGCAAGGATAGAGTGGAAGATGTAGCGAGGACAGTGTGGAGGAGGATAAAGCGTAGACAGAGTGGAGGAGGATGGAGCAATGAGAGAGTGCATGAGGATGGAGCAAGCATGGAGCGAGGACAGAGTGGAGCAGGCATGGAGCGAGAACAGAGTGGAGCAGGCATGGAGTGAGGACAGAGTGGAGGAGTATGGAGTGAGGACAGAGTGGAGGAATATGGAGTGATGACAGAGTGGAGGAGGATGGAGCTTGGAGAGAGTGGAGGAGGATGGATCGAGGACAGATTGTAGGAGGATGGAGTGAGGACAGAGTGGAGGATGAAGCAATAATAGAGTGGAGGAGTATGGAGTGATGACAAGAGTGGAGGAGGCTGGAGCGAGAACAGAGTGGAGGAGTATGTTGTGATGACAGAGTGGAGGAAGATTGAGCGAAGTCAAAGTGGAGGAGGATGAAACGAGGCCAGATTGGAGGCGGATGGAGCGAGTACAGAGTGGAGGAGGATTGAATGAGGACAGATTGGAGGATTGAGCAAGAACAGAGTGGAGGGGAATGGAACGAAAGCAGAGTGGATGCGGGTGGAGCGAGGACAAAGTGGAGGAGTATTGGGTGAGGACAGAGTGGAAAAAGGTAGAGCAAGGACAGAGTGGAGGAGGATGGAGCTTGGAGAAAGTGGAGGAGGATGGAGCAACGATGGAGCTTGGACAGAGTAAATGACAATGGAACGAGGACAGAGTGGAGGAGGATAGAGCGTAGACAGAGTGGAGGAGGATGGAGCAATGAGAGAGTGCATGAGGATGGAGCAAGCATGGAGCGAGGACAGAGTGGAGGAGTATGGAGTGAGTACAGAGTGGAGGAATATGGAATGATGACAGAGTGGAGAATTGAGCGAGGACAGAGTGGAGGAGGATGGAGCGAGGACAGAGTGGCAGAGGATGGAGCGAGGACAGAGTGGCGGAGGATGGAGCTTGGAGAGAGTGGAGGAGGATGGATCGAGGACAAAGTGGAGGAGGATGGAGCGAGAACAGAGTGGAGGATGAAGTGAGGACAGAGTGGATAAGTATGTTGTGATGACAGAATGGAGGAAGATTGAGCGAAGTCAAAGTGGAGGAGGATGAAACGAGGCCAGATTGGAGGAGGATGGAGCGAGCACAGAGTGGAGGAGGATAGAGCGTAGACAGAGTGGAGGAGGATGGAACAATGAGAGAGTGCATGAGGATGGAGCAAGCATGCAGCGAGGACAGAGTGGAGCAAGCATGCAGCGAGGACAGAGTGGAGGAGTATTGGGTGAGGACAGAGTGGAAAAAGGTAGAGCAAGGACAGAGTGGAGGAGGATGGAGCAAGGATAGAGTGGAAGATGTAGCGAGGACAGTGTGGAGGAGGATAGAGCGTAGACAGAGTGGAGGAGGATGGAGCAATGAGAGAGTGCATGAGGATGGCGCAAGCATGGAGCGAGGACAGAGTGGAGCAGGCATGGAGCGAGAACAGAGTGGAGCAGGCATGGAGTGAGGACAGAGTGGAGGAGTATGGAGTGAGGACAGAGTGGAGGAATATGGAGTGATGACAGAGTGGAAGAGGATGGAGCTTGGAGAGAGTGGAGGAGGATGGATCGAGGACAGATTGTAGGAGGATGGAGTGAGGACAGAGTGGAGGATGAAGCAATAATAGAGTGGAGGAGCATGGAGTGATGGCAAGAGTGGAGGAGGATGGAGCAAGAACAGAGTGGAGGAGTATGGTGTGATGACAGAGTGGAGGAAGATTGAGCGAAGTCAAAGTGGAGGAGGATGAAACGAGGCCAGATTGGAGGCGGATGGAGCGAGTACAGAGTGGAGGAGGATTGAACGAGGACAGAGTGGAGGATTGAGCAAGAACAGAGTGGAGGGGAATGGAATGAAAGCAGAGTGGATGAGGGTGGAGCGAGGACAAAGTGGAGGAGTATTGGGTGAGGACAGAGTGCAAAAAGGTAGAGCAAGGACAGAGTGGAGGAGGATGGAGCAAGGATAGAGTGGAAGATGTAGCGAGGACAGTGTGGAGGAGGATAAAGCGTAGACAGAGTGGAGGAGGATGGAGCAATGAGAGAGTGCATGAGGATGGAGCAAGCATGGAGCGAGGACAGAGTGGAGCAGGCATGGAGCGAGAACAGAGTGGAGCAGGCATGGAGTGAGGACAGAGTGGAGGAGTATGGAGTGAGGACAGAGTGGAGGAATATGGAGTGATGACAGAGTGGAGGAGGATGGAGCTTGGAGAGAGTGGAGGAGGATGGATCGAGGACAGATTGTAGGAGGATGGAGTGAGGACAGAGTGGAGGATGAAGCAATAATAGAGTGGAGGAGTATGGAGTGATGACAAGAGTGGATGAGGATGCAGCGAGAACAGAGTGGAGGAGTATGTTGTGATGACAGAGTGGAGGAAGATTGAGCGAAGTCAAAGTGGAGGAGGATGAAACGAGGCCAGATTGGAGGCGGATGGAGCGAGTACAGAGTGGAGGAGGATTGAATGAGGACAGATTGGAGGATTGAGCAAGAACAGAGTGGAGGGGAATGGAACGAAAGCAGAGTGGATGCGGGTGGAGCGAGGACAAAGTGGAGGAGTATTGGGTGAGGACAGAGTGGAAAAAGGTAGAGCAAGGACAGAGTGGAGGAGGATGGAGCAAGGATAGAGTGGAAGATGTAGCGAGGACAGTGTGGAGGAGGATAGAACGTAGACAGAGTGGAGGAGGATGGAGCAATGAGAGAGTGCATGAGGATGGAGCAAGCATGGAGCGAGGACAGAGTGGAGCAGGCATGGAGCGAGAACAGAGTGGAGCAGGCATGGAGTGAGGACAGAGTGGAGGAGTATGGAGAGAGGACAGAGTGGAGGAATATGGAGTGATGACAGAGTGGAGGAGGATGGAGCTTGGAGAGAGTGGAGGAGGATGGATCGAGGACAGATTGTAGGAGGATGGAGTGAGGACAAAGTGGAGGATGAAGCAATAATAGAGTAGAGGAGTATGGAGTGATGACAAGAGTGGAGGCGGATGGAGCGAGTACAGAGTGGAGGAGGATTTAACGAGTACAGAGTGGAGGATTGAGCAAGAACAGAGTGGAGGGGAATGGAACGAAAGCAGAGTGGATGCGGGTGGAGCGAGGACAAAGTGGAGGAGTATTGGGTGAGGACAGAGTGGAAAAAGGTAGAGCAAGGACAGTGTGGAGGAGGATGGAGCAAGGATAGAGTGGAAGATGTAGCGAGGACAGAGTGGAGGAGGGTGGAGCGAGTGGAGGAGGATAGAGCAAGGACAGAGTGGAGGAGGATCGAGCGAAGACATAGTGGAGGATGTAGCGAGGACAGAGGGGAGGAGTATTGACCGAGGACAGAGTGGAGGAACGTGAAGTATAGTCAAAGCGGAGGAAGATGTAGCGAAGACAGAATGGATGGAACAAGGACAAAGTGGAGGAGGGTTGATCAAGGAAAGAGTGGAGGAGGATAGAGCGAGGAAAGAGTGAAGGAGGATGGAGCGAGGACAGAGTGGAGAATGAAACGAAAACAGAGAGGAGGAGGATGGAGCGTGGACTGAGTGGAGGACAATGAAACGACGTTAAGTTGTGGATCGAGGACAGAGTGGAGGAGGATGGAGCAAGTTCAGAGTGGAGTAGGATGGAGTGAGGACACAGTGGTGGACGGGGCGAGCATTGGGTGGACGACCGAGCAAGAAGGATCTCACCGGCGCAGTGTCCGTAGTGTGCCACGCCGATGGAGCGGCCCTGTGCACAGGTGGCACGGCGCAGGTGACAGGCGCTGGCGTAGGTAACACCGTTGCGGCCACACAGGGGGCCCCCCGTAGATGAGGAGATGGCGGTTGCGCCGCATGAGCTCTGCCCACACCGCACGCAGTGGGCGCCACTCAGCTGATCCAGGACGCACTCCATGCCGGCGGGGCATGGCACACCCTCGCACGTCTCTGTGCGAAGACAAAGACGAAGATCCCCGTATAATATTGAATTGACAAAGTCAAGACAAAGAAGATACTGTTGGGGTACGTTCTGTTAGCAAGAAGCACATATTAAGGCCGAAATGGCACACAAGGGGGTTCTGTGGCCAGCACCACACCTTGCCAAAATTTGTCTGCCCAGTGCTGATGGTGTATTACACGGGTATTTATTAAGGCCGAGTGAACCACGGGGAGGCCAAAGACCATTTCAGATATTCGCCATCGTCGCTGGAATCGGAACAGGGGTCGCCACTGTGCTAACGCTCCTCCCTGTGTGAACACACATGCACGGATGGGCACAAGCGAGCGCAGCTGCGCTCGGCATCAGACACACGGGAGTTATCATTATTATTTTTATAATATTATAATAACAGTCTTCATAAATTCGCTGTTTAACCCTTTTGCCGTTGCAAGACATCTGCAAGTTGCAGGGTGTCCCGTTCACCACTGAATCTTGGAACGCGCAAGCGGCTATCATTAATTTAATTTAGAGAGGCATCGCGCCATTGTTTTTAAAGACATTGCACTGTACTGAACGCAGATAACTGTAGCGATACGACCATACCACAGTTTATGAAATTCGCCCCATTGTTTCAACTTCCGCGCCTGGAGATTGAACCAGCGACCCCCTGTTTGCATCCAGTGCTGCTGCTGACCACCATAACCACGGCCACATCCCAAATGAACAAATCATTTTTTTTATTTTACCAAGTAAGATCCACTGAGCTATATAGCTCTTTTTCAGAAGCGACCTGGCTATCACAAATAATAACTCAACGAAGTGGCTCATTATGTGAACACGTATAGCAGCCAATACTCTAATTTCTGTTGATTCTATATGTGAAGGTATAGAACCGACGGACCTGGAAAAAAATCCACACGACCACGTGGAGAGAGACATGCACACTCCAAATATATCGGCGTCAGGATCGGGATCGAGCCCACGAATTCCTGTATACCAGGCAAGGTAGTTAACATATCTCCACCATGGTACCAGAATGAGCTGCATGCGGCACACCGATAGCCATGCCCCCCTCTCTGTGTGTGCTCGGTGGAACACGCAGTCCCCGCCGTGGTGAAGAGCTGGGTGATGTGTAACAGAAGCTTGCCCCGCAGTAAATCACAGTGTCAACACTCGGCAGGTGCCGTGTGAAGCTGTGCCAAGCCCCTCTGATGTGATTTTGTGTTTGTGCGTTATGGATCCAGTGACGCGAGTTGGATTCCCACTCACGGCCAACATCAGTGACGATTATAAAAAAAACTGGTCCTTGTCCTCCCCTAGGTAGACTCAGACTTAAATGAGTACTTGGTGCAGTGTGCAAATATCAGCACTGGGGAGACAAACGCAGGCATGTGATGTGTCAACCTTAGTAGGTGCTCGCCAACATTCTGTTAGAGGTTATATGGGAAATATTTTTCTTAAATGTGTGCGTCTGTGTGCACGTGGCGATGCAAAGATTAGTGTTGCTGACACAGGGTTGCGGATCGAGTCTCGGATCTAAAACCTTAGACACGTGCAGGACTGACTACTAGCACAGGACACAAAAGACAAAGTTCCCCCATATAGTCTTAACAGACGTTTAGGGCAAATACTAGCTAGCACCTATGAAGGCCGGTTGCCTTTGTTTTCTTAGTGGAAATGTTTACACATCACACCAGGTACTCATTTAAGGCTGAGTTGACTTATGGGAGGCCCAGAACCGATTTAGATAATCGTTACTGGCGTTGTCCATGAGCGTGAATCGAACTCGGAGCGCAAGTGCAGCACTAACTAACCACCACCGCCACCACCACCTTACTTACTGCGGCAGCTGCCGTTGTACTGCACCGAGAGCGAGGACTGCGCGCGGCACCGCGCACGCAGCACAGCACACTCGTCCCGGTAGGAGCGGCCGTCCGAGCCACACACGGGGCCCCGGCGCGCCTCTCGGCAGTCGGGCGCGCACACACAGTGCGGACGGTTGCGCCGATTCATGCGGCACCTCTTGCCTGGCGCGCACTCTACACCCTCGCACGACTCTGCATGCTCGCACACGTGGCACAGGGGGAAGAGGGGGAGGGGGGCGTCGCCACGGTGGCGACATGTTAACTACCTCACCTGGTATACAGGGGGTCGTGGGTACGATCCCGACCCTGACACCTGTCGTATATTTGGAGTCTGTGTGTCTCTCTCCTCGTGGTCGCATGTATTTTTCTTGGGGTCCTCCGGTTTTTCCACGTGATAAGCCACTTGGTTGAGCTATCATATGTGTCCAGGTCGATTCTGAAAAAGAGCTATATAGCGCAGTGGGCCTTACGTGGTAAAATAAAGATAGTTTAGTTTTGATTTAGGGTCGCATGCACAGATAAAAGGTCCCCCGTATAGCCTTGCGTAGTGGTGCGAGGTGAGCACCTTTGAAGGCGGTGACAAGGCAACCCTGACGAGGTGTGGATGGTCAGGAACCATACACGGCCGCCTTTGTCTTCCAAGTGACGATGTTTATGCACCGAACCAGGTACTAACTCATTTGTGGCTGATTTGACAAAGACGAGACAAAGATCCCCCATATAGTCTGAAGAGACCATTGGGATATGTGCTGTTAGCGAGCACCTGTGAAGGCTGGAACGGCACACGAAGATGTGGGTGGCCAGCACTACCTCCAGTCGCCTTTATCTCTCCAATTCGGATGCTTATACAATTGTAGTGGGTTCCAGGACATGGAGACGGCAGAGTAGAGGCAGCACTATTTATTGAACAAGGGGGTCACACTGGAAGGGGTAGCGGCCCCTTCCCCCGTATATACTCAGGAATAACCCCAGGCTATCTAGCCTAAGCTCTAGGCTCCCGATTCCTCCGGCTATAGGCGCTAGATGAGGCTATCTGATCTGGCCCTGGTCAGACACAGATCTCGGCATCCCACCCACCAGACCGGCCCTTAAAAGGACTCCGGCTCTGGGGCTCTGGGGCCACACCACTGGCTTGCTGTGCCAGCCCTGAAAAGGGCAGCGGTCACAGGAGTCCCAGGGTCTATCCTAGCCGGCCTTCCTTCTTCACTGGCGCTTCAGTCTTGGCCCCAACACACTGCCCCGAGCTCTCTGGCTCCCCGCCCTTTGTACCCATTGAGGGTGGAGCCATATCGGACGTGGTTGTAGCCACCAAGGTGTAGGTGTGCCACACCTTCCCACACCGTGTGTTTCTTCGCCATAGTACCCCTACACAATGGACCAGGTACTCATTTAAGGCCGAGTCAACGTAGGGGTGGCTTGTAACCGTTTCACATCTCAGTCAAAGACCTTGACTGTGAGTGGAAATCTAACTCGGTTCGCCATGCTCGTAGTGCAGTGCGCAAACAGCTACATTATCACTACACTACGCGTATGCATACACACACACACCTGTAGCACAGGCACACACCTGTGTCGCACACAGACACACCTGTGTTAAACACACTCACTTGTCATGTCAAACGATTGGAGCTGGGCAATCGGATGACTCAAGTAATCGATTACTACACTGATTAATTATCGATTCTATTACGTGGCTACTCGGATATCATGAATACTGTGCAATAAAAAGTATCGCTCCTTTTCCCACGTGTGACGCTGGAGGGGAAGTTGGACCCCGGGATTTGAGACCAGGCTCTCAGCTGTCCCGGCTCAGCACTCTGACCTCAGCTACCCGGCTACCTAAACAGAACCTTTGCATCGTCACACCGCCGGTCACAAGACTTATCTCCCTCCTTCTCCCTGCTTCTTCCATCGCACTGCTCCACCATGGAATTCTCTCCTTCCATCATCGTCTCTGTTCCCAAGCTCCTCCAAACACATTCCTGCGGAGGGAGCTGGTAGGAACGTTGGGTTGCTCGGTCAATGGGCAGGGTCAACGGCGGCATTGTGTATTCCGCAAATGAAGCAAATGGCGGGACCGCAGGGTCCCATCAGTGCCCCGGGGTGGGAAAGACCACGTAGCGACACGAGTCTTGCCTTATCGACAACAAAACTAGTGTCAATCGATTGGCCAAATCGAGAGCTACTCGGGGCACTAAATTTCGTAAAAAGTTGAAAAGTTACATAAACACGTTAAATTCACTGCGGGGGCGGGCTTGCCTTGGCAAAGAAGCTGAGGATCGACGGCTGATCGGAGGGCGTTGTCGCCGCGCGCGACTGCGGCGGACGCCCGGGCTTGCGTGTGGCCGGTGGGGTGGCGCCCATTGTGTCGATCGCCACCTGCTGGCGCTTGTTGGCGCGAGTCTGGGCGGGCGGCGCGTTTCTGTCGTCGTCCAACTCGGCGACGAGATAGGAGCGGGATGGCTGGATAGTAGTCCTAGGCAATCGGCGGGGATTGAAAAGTACTTCTTGGCGAGCGACTTGAGCTTCTTCGTGGTGATGGTGCCAACAGGCGCCATCTGCAGCACGACGGGAAGCTTTTTGTGCGCGGCTTGGTGGATCGACGTGACGCTGGGGCCGAAGAGATCGCCGAGGAGCGCCTTGCGGATCATGTTGATGTTCGCGTCATCGACCGTGCGGGCAGCGATGGCGTCCTCATCGGTGGTTGAGCAAAGCCGGCACATCGCAGTGATGCCCTCGTCGATCTTGAAAAAGTAATTGAACGTGAAACGAGCCGGCAGGTGCTTGAAATTCTTTGAGAGAACGGCGTCCCATCCGACGTAGAAAGGACGCCGCGTGTCGTTGTGATCGACAAAGTCGACACAGATGCTGTTGATGTCGTTTAGGTCACTGGCAAGCTGCTGGGGGGTGAAGAAGTTTTTGCCCTTCATCTTGTTCCGGCACCAGGCGACGACGCGATCAGTTTGATTGTATGAGTGGCCAGAAAGGAGGTAGACGAGGACGACCTTACGATAGAACAGAATCGACAGCATCGCAAAGAACTGCATTAAGATGTGCGACTTGTTCTGCCCGACGCAGTTGTCGAGAACGACGAGGAGCGTCTGCGGCATCGCAGCGCCGTGCTTGATCAACAGGTTGTAGTGGTACTGGAAGCGCAGGCTGCACATTGCTTCAGCTTCCTTGCCTTGGGCGCGGTCGTCGTAAAGAACGACGTGGTTGATGCCTTTCGTCACGTCGGTGGTGATAAAGTTCTGCATCATCAGGTTCGACTTGAAGTAGTCGGCGGACGAACGCTCGTGGCCGTAGTACGGCATAGAAAAGCTGCCGCCAAAATCCTCAATTTGAATTTGAATCAGTGGCATGCTCGAGCTGCTGTCGCCGTCAGAGGCCCTGTCAGACGCTCGATCGTCGTCGTCGATGGCGATGTCGACAGTGTCCGAGATGATGCTGCACGGAACACGTTGACCGGGGGATTGCTGCACAACGTAATCCTTGACGAAGCTCGACACAGCTCGGCGCTGAGCTATGGCATCATGCAGGTGCATCTTTAGCTCCGCTCTGAGGCGTTCGCGCTCGTCGTCGTCAATATCATCAGAAGCGAGTGCAATCTCGATGCGGACGCAGCAGTCGCAGACGTCTTCGGCAAAGCGAGCGAGGCGCAAGCCAGGGTACAGCTGGTGGACGTCCTGAGTCCACCTCGAGAAAGAAATCACGTGAGCGTCTTGCTCCTCCATCTTGGCTTTGTAGCGGCTATGCAGCTTCGTCCACGTGATCATCGGATCCAGAAGGTATTGCTTGGGGCGAAGGTGGCCGCAGGCAAACTCATCTTCAACCTCCCACGAAGCGACGTCATTCCTGAGGGCCGTCAGATCGGCGTCGGTAAGTGCATGAGTGGGAGTGGTGGGAGCACGTCACGTGTGCAGGCTATCAAACCCATCCGCGGCAACTTTACGCAAGCGGGCTAGGCGAGAGCCGCCGACAGGGAGAATCGCGCGGATCTCGCGCTCTGACAGCTTCATCTGGATTAGGTTGAGAATGATCCCCTCCGACTGCTTCCACTCCGATCCAGCACGCCCCGTCTCCATCACATCCCAGTCTTGACGGATCTTGATGATCGCAGCAGCGCCGAGCTTCGCCTCGGCGCGGGCAGCGGCTTTCACCCCCCGATCGCACGATGGGCGGACATTGCGCTGCACGACGGTTTGTTGGGAGCCTCCAGCTCCACCCGTCTTGCGAATGACGTTTGCAGCTGACATCACCGTCAATACGGACAGCGCGGTTGACCACGACAGAGGCTCGCTTGACCCCGCAGACGGAGCTGCGACAGGCGGTGATGCACCTGCACCCGTCGGTGTCCACCTGACGAGCTTGTGCATCTCGGCGTTCAGCTCTTCCTCGTGTTCAATGAGGTGGCGTTTCTCGGACGCCATTGCTGAACAGGGGCCACGCGCAAGAATGAACAGCAGCCCTGGCGGGGTCCATCCGGTGTCCTTGCGGGATCATGAGTGGGCGGATTGAAAAATTATAATTATTGACCTGATTTTTGCGGGACCCCGGGGTCCCGCCAAATGATTCAAATATGCCCGACTGTGAGGGCGGGCACAAGCAGGCGTGAGTAGGGGTGACCAGCCCCTCCCCACCCAGCTCCACCCCTCCCACCCCCCACCCAGCCCGACCCTCCCCGCCCAGCCCCTCCCCACCCTCCCCACCCAGCCCCTCCCCACCCTCCCCACCCAGCCCCTCCCCACCCTCCCTACCCAGCCCCTCCCCGCCCAGCCCCTCCCCACCCTCCCCACCCAGCCCCTTCCCACCCTCCCCACCCAGCCCCTCCCCACCCTCCCTACCCAGCCCCTCCCCACCCAGCCCCTCCCCACCCTCCCTACCCAGCCCCTCCCCACCCTCCCATCCCCACCCAGCCCCACCCTCCCCACCCAGCCCCTCCCAACCCTCCCCTCCCCACCCAGCCCCTTCCTCCCTCCCCACCCAGCCCCTCCCCACCCTCCCCTCTCCACCCAGCCCCACCCCTCCCATTTTTGGATGCACGACGGATGGACACAATAATCCCCTGTGGGCTGGTGTAACCAGAAGGTTCCTACCAGTATAACTTCGCTCAATTCACTAAACGTGTCGACTGTTAATCTATTTCAAACTATAAAACTATATTTTTATGTTTTACCATGTAAGGCCCACTG